ATATTTTCATCTACGATAAAACCTTCAGCAAATGTTTTTCTCCCTAGAAGCAAACAAAAATGTAAAAATATAAACTGAATATTATTAAAGTCATCAAAACCAAAATTAAATTATCTTACCGCTGAAGCTAATTGGTCCCAGGTTCTTAATCACAGCATCCTCAATTTCAAATGCGAGATTGTGACCATCAACAGGGCCAGTCACATCCAGAGAGCTTACTGTTACAATATCCTAAAACAACAAACTTATTAGATGGATTCAAATAAAGCTTTAGTGCATACCTAATATAAAATCTACCTCAAAAGAAAGAGAGCCAGAAATAGTATTACTGCCATTCAGCTTTATAGCCTTTTCTGCAATTCTGGTTAGATTGAATGTATTCACTCCAGCAAGTGTTTCAATATGTCCCTCAATAACAAGTTCTGCAGACAAATTCAAGTTGAAAATTTTGTAGAACACACATACAACCAGTAAAGGACTGAACATATCAACGTACCATCAATGGTGAACCCTCCATCGATCAAAAGTTTTGCAAGGTCTTCGTACACAGGAGGAGGAGGAGGAGCTGTTTCCCTTGCTAGAGTATGAACTGGCACACCATTTATGTAACTGACATTAATATGTTTGGTAACCGTGACATCACCAAATGTATATCCACCCAAAATAGTTTGAGGCCGAGATTGACTCATGCGCCTGTTTTCAAAATCTATCAAGTTCCATCCACAAATCTGTTAACAAAAAATTAAAAAATAACTGTTTATTTAAGAGGAGAATGTTAGTTGCAAGCATTTAGAGCGTACAAACCTTATCTCCAATCACATTGCCAGCAACTCTCATAACATCTGTAATGACTGGTCCCTTAATGTAGCATGTCAAATTAGTTGACCTTGGCCCACACATATCTTCTGAGGTGGGTAGGATAGTATCTGTTACAGGAGTATTACCAAGCTGTTCTGAAATTATCAGTTCAGCAGCGAATATCTTAGATGATTCGGTGAATGTGAGGTGGCTTAGGGTGTCCTGTTAAACACAAGTGGTTGTAAAAAGAAAGCATAGTACCAAAATTGTACTTTGAAATGAAAATTGAAGTTGTATACCTGGACACCCGTCAACCGTACGGCTTCAGCATTCAACTCTACCACATCCACACCATCCACGAGTCCCGTCACTTGAAGGTTGTTAAAGACTGCTTTCTGAATTGTCTTACCTCCTAGCAGAAACAAAGAGAAGAATAAACACTTTAGAAACAGAAATTTAGAAAGATATCAAAGAAACAAAACTCATTACTTGTATCCTTACCATGGAATGTTTGAGGAGAATCAATTCTAGCAATATCTGCTATTTTCCTACCATTTACTAAGCCTGAAGAAACCATGACATTATCAACTTTCAATGAACCAAGAAGAGTTTTCTTTCCATCCAAAAATACTTGACCATGGGAGGTGGGTGGGACAACTAATATGTCTTGAACAACGTCTTTAAAGATTTGCTCATTCAAAGTGTTGATAATCTAGGAGCAGTACAGAGTTTGTTAAGGCTAACACAGGGTATTCCAGCAAGAGCAACAATTTCAAAACATTTACCTGAATTGTGCCATCAACGGTCAAGTTTGTAAACTGGACATTTGATGATACTACAACATTGGGACCGAGAGGAGGGCTCTTCTGCCTATTCAGCCTTATGCCATTAACAGCCCCATCAACCTATGGAATATGCTCAGACATGAAAATTGTTCAATTTCTCTTAGGGTAAGGCAGAACTATACAAACCTTTATATCACCAATGATATCAGCTTCTGCAAGTTTTAATTCCCCATTGAGATACTGATCGGTTGTTTTAGTCACTAGAGCATTTACAGGAACACCATCAATAGTTTTAGCAAAATCAACTGTGCCGACCATCAATTTATCATTAAACTTCTTTGAGGCAGTTATTAACTGGCTCTTATTGGCATTCTTCAGAACAAAGTCGTCAGGGAAATTCAATCCATTCAGCTGTTCAATTTTCATACTATCTGCAGTCAACACCTAAAATAAAATTGAGTTATTACTTTTGAAATGGTTTGTGCAAATGAAAATGTAAGGAGAAATTCACAGAATTTACCCCATCTATCTCCGTAAGTCCTGTAACTACAGCTGGCTGATCCCTCCAAACAATTCTTTCGACAATGTTACTCCAAAGAAATCCATTAATCCTTTCAACACTTAGCTGGCCTCCAACATCTAGCATGTCAAAAGTCTTCAAGATTTGTGACCCATTAACAATAGACTTCAAGTTGTGAGGGTTCATATCTACTGTGTTTATCACATTCACCGTCAAGTCTCCTTCCACTGTTACTTCATCAAACTGAACAATTCCTGGAGGAACCAACAATAGCATTAGCTGCAATATGTCTCAGGTATAACAGAATACAGAAAAAAATACTCAATCATAAAGACATACCTGGAAACTGTCTTCCTGCTATCAATACCTCCTCAGATAAATCCACACCACCAACAGTTCCCTGGGGAGGCAAATCAATATCATTCTGAACTTGGAGAATCTCTGTCACTTCTAGAACACCGTTCACCCTGACTGTTTTGCCAGGTACATTGAAGATTAAATCATCTCTTTGAACATCATTGACGATGTCAAACATAACATCAGATACTTCCAAGGCAGACAAGGTTTTTGTACCGCTGATTGTTCCTTTCTCTAGTTGGTCAATTCTACAAAGCATAAGGAAGATAAGTAAAAAAAGAACTGCAAAAAGAATGTTATGTAAACTCAAGCACATACCTCACAGTATCTTTCAGGAGTGTAGGGACACTCTCTTCATTCAACCAGCTAACAGTCAAAGAATCAAAGGAGGCAGGTCCTTGAACCTCCAGACCACCAAGAAGTTGATGGTGCCCGGACAGATGCACTTCGCCATTTTCAGGCACCGCAGCATCAGACAATGAAAGCGACAAACTTTTAGTCAACGCCTCTAACTCTGTCATGAGACTTTTCAGCTTACTAAGATCTTCAGTAGGTTGCAGTGTCTCTGAAATGAAAAAAAGTGTGCTTAAACAATTATCAGTAGGGAGAAAAAAAAAAAATACCTCCATCATACCGGTCCTGCTTGTTTCTACGTTCACAAATTCTTCAGGCTGTATTTCCTGTATGACCCAATCTGCCTTTATCACATTATGACCACTTGGATTTAAGGTGTCGCTTAAAAGCCTCTCTGTTGCTTCCCATTCCTGTCTTTGCCTTGTCAACTCCTCCTGGAAAGTTGTGGGAATCCAAAATAATGTCCATTACCTATAAACCCGCACATGTCGCACTTATGAAATGGGTTTTGGAAAATTAATTCCTTACCGTTAGTTTTGCTTGAGCTTCCTTCAAAATCAGAATTTCAGATAACAAAGGATTTGCATTTGGCTGAAGTTGTGTTTGAAAATCAAACAATGTAGAATGCAGAGAACCTTGGGGTACTAGAACAGAAACAACTGATGCGTCCCCCAATTGAAGAGCTACAGCTTCAGCTAAACCCAGTTCACTGCTTTCTGCTATGATACATGATGCACCTTAAATATTGAAGATAAAGAAATGTTATCAGAAGTTCATAAGTATCAAATTACCAATAAAATGTGTCTGATCACCTCTAAAAGTTGATAAATGTCCAGAAACAAAACAGGGGTAATCCTGCCAATTGAAAACACCTGCAGAGGACCAAGTTAAAGTCACCACTTTTTTGGAGTAGTGGGTGCCACTACCTTGGACTACTTCTGCAAGAAGAATCACCTCATCTCTGTAGGTTTGTATGGGTAAAACCAGCCACGCTGATACAAAGCCAAGATCTGAAAGTATGAAACAAAACTGAAGATTCCATGTAGGCAGGTAGAGGTGCAGGCACTGACTGACAACTCACTTTTAAGAGCTTTAGGACAGCCTTCAATTCTTGTTGGGCTTACAAAACGAAACAGGGCTGGATTGACACCACCTACAGCGAGATACATCTGCAACAAAAAATTTAAAAAGCTACAGATTTATGATCATATTAAAAATAAACAAAACTTGACAAGAGTTAACTTACTTTATAACTGATATGAAAAAAGATTGCATGTGAAATTTGAGGACTAGGTAGGTCCTTCCAGAGTTCGAAGGAGCCATAAGCAGTATGGTTGCTAGGCCCTGCAGCATCCTGGGGTAGAGGTGAATGGTACCGATATAATTTGGCAACACCAGCGTCAGGGAGAGCGAGTACAAGGTATACTTCATCACCAACTACACCAAGATCTCCAGAAACCGCTGGTGCTTCTAATGAAATAGACCAAGAAAGCCTGGAAAGATCATATGTTAAGAAGCAGAATATAATAGAATAAAAATCAAGCAAGCATCAATAGAGGAAAGTACCTTGCTTCGAGTGAATTTCCTAGATTGAAATCAAAGACATCAGCACTAGCTTCACACTGCACCAACTCCAAAGTGGATTCACAGGATGTTAACATCAAAAGTTTCATCTGCTCTTTAATTTGAAACACCCTTAAGTGAGAAACTCTTTTCTGTACAGGCCAGGACCTAATTTGTTCCTGTACAAAGAAATTAAGAAATCATGGAAGGAAAAAAGAAAAATTCAAATAAAGTGAAAGAGCATTACATACCACACGAGAATTGATCCGATACCATATCAAGCTTCCTTCATTTTCAGTAGAGAGAACCAGGATAACATCCATTGTTTTAGTGGCTGCATTCCAATGTTTAAAGATAGTTGCAGCCAGTGGAGTACTTGGAAGACCTGGAAACGCAGGTGTTGAGAGATGAAAGAACGTAAGATACAAATGAAAGAATTAAGACCACCTGTACCGAAGACACTTACGATATATTTCCTCTGACAGTGAGAATGTCTGACCAGTACCAACATCAGGAGCAACAAATTTCGCAGTAAGTAAAGTAAAGTGCTTTGACCCAAGGCCAACAAGGTATGTTGTACTACCAGCAGAAATAGAATGCCATTTCCCCACACCAGCTCCAAATTTGAACGGATCACGCTTGTAGACAGATGTCACATTAAGTTCTAGAAAGAAAAACAGAAATGTATGACATACCTAACAACTGGTCGCCAAATAGGTCTACGCGATACATTCAAAGACGTTTTTGGCATATCTAATCGTTAACGAAGTAGAGAGGGAGTTCGGTCGACCAGAACAAGGAACAAGGAACAAGCAGAAGCAGAGGGGGATGAGCAGTGTTGCCCTCGACACGCAATGAGAACGGTGACTAGACCTCCTGATTAGGTGAGCGACGTCGATTAGAAAACCATACACAAAATCCGACAAGCAAAGCAAGCGGAACAGGTAGCACTCGGTTGAACCGCCGTGTTGATGTTGATGTTGACACACTCATTTGTTGCGGTGCGGTGCGGTGCGGCCAACCCCCCCTCCCCCTCCTCCTCCGTTACCCCTCCCACCGTAGCAGTAGCAGCAAGTGCTCGCCGCCGCCGCCGTAGAGGCAGGCAGCTCAACCAACAGTTTGGCCGTCGTGGCCCCCCGGCAACGCCGGAAAGTTAGGCAGCCCATCTAGCTCGCATAGTGTGTGTTTTACTTCTACGTTTGACAGCTCTAGGCCAAGTCGTGACTTTCCTGCTCCTGTAGGGAGGTACGTCTACTCCATGAAAGGGAGTTGTCCTCAAAGTGTCTCGGCACTTTTAATAAGGGACAAACCGTTTGGGGAAATCCATACCGGACAAAGCTCTGTACTAGACACACACAAGACAACTCATATACGCTCCTCTACAGCCCCAGACACCGATTCGGTGTCAGAGTGATATCCTGCCTACAGTCGTACTGACGGAAGAACATACAGTTGCCCGTATCTTCACCACGCTATTCAGCCAGTCGGTGAGCTGTTACTTGGTCAGATTTCAGATGGACCACATCTGACAGAATGTTGGCGTCTCCCACGCAACTCCACTCACCCTCTTGCGCGAGCGTGTCGTCGCCGGCGCGGGTGGAGGGCGAGTACCAGGGGACGCCGTCGTCGCCGGCCGCGTCCCGGGCCGTCCTGGGGGCGCGCCCGGGTGCGCCGCCCTCGAGGAGGACGTCTTGGCGCAGGGACTCCAGGAGCAGGGGCAGCGGCACGTGTGCGGGCTCGGCCGGCTGCACAAAGAGAGGGCGATGTTGACGTGACGGTCCCCACGGGCTGCTGCAGAGCTGGCGAGGGGCGACTCACTTGGGTCAGATGAGGCTCGGCCGACAGACTCGGACACAGCAGGGCCACGCACGCTACGCAGGCCCACACCCCGACCCAGCACCGGGACGGTCCAGGTCCACCCATGATGGTTGATGATGACAGTGTGGTCCAGCTCGCCCAGACGGCTGCAACCGAATGAAGATGCGGCGAGCGGCCAGCGCGCGAGCTGGCCTCCAGGTGGGGTGGCGCTTTGCAGATGAGCCACTAGGTGGCGTTCTAGCAATAACACGCACCTCCCCCCCCCCCCCCACCTCTCACGCCTTTCCAGCAGACGAAAGAGTGCTTTTCGCTGGTTTCCGAAGTTCTCGTTTGCAAACTCACATAACGATCTTTTGGTCGTTACCAAGCCAGCAGATACTTAGCGGGAGGAAAGGAGACGAGATGACACTTCGAAAAGACCTTTCGAACGAAACGGCGATTCGGCGGGAGAGGTGTGTGAACCACAGGGGAAGTGCCAAACAAGCAGCAATACAAGACTACGCCTGTGGGGGGG